CCTCCAGCCCCACCAAAGCCGGAACCTCAGGGGCCCCCAGCCCCAAAAGTGGGCCCGCAGCTAGGTACCCACGTGCCCACTGGAGCTCAACGCAAAGGTAACAGGGACCTAGGGATGGCCACTGTCCCCACATCAGCCCTCTTCCCTCAAGGGGGGCACTGGTCTTTCCACCTGAACAGCCACCCAGAGGGGGTCTCGGCTGCCCTTTGTCACTATGGGGTATTGACCTGGTCTGCTGTTGAACTCCTCTCCCACCTCCCTGTTTGAGGGCCAGCCAGAAAGTCTTCCTCAGAAGTGTAAAGGATGGGGAGACCTTTGAAAAAATTGGAGGCTGCACACTTACTCACATGTGATTCTCTTAGCTGCTCCCACTTACCTCTCCCTCCTCACTCCCCGTCACTGTGGGTGACGATGCCGGTGGTCCTGATCCCACCCACATCGACGTCAATGTCCCCCAAACACTGCGCTACCCAACACGCGCCCCCCGTGCTCAGGAGCTGGAAGCGGGAGCCCCTCACCCTTCTTCCCTCCTCCTGCTCTGCCTTAGCCTGTGTGCCCAGGAAGGCCGGCCCCAGGGCCAAACCCGCCCGCCCTCAGCCATACACATCCCAGCGGCCCCGGGAGACCCAGGCACCCAAGGGGATTCCCCTTGAGGCTGTCAAAGAATACGAGGACATCTTGGAGGAGCTGCTGGCGCCTGTCCACTTGGCCACTGGGGAGACATATGCAGAATGTCCAGAAGACGGGACCTACCCGGACCCGGGTCTCCTCAGCTACATGGACCAGCTGTGTTCCCAGGAAGACTTCGTCACGAAGGTGGGCTGGGCCTGCAGCCTCGGGGCTGCAAGATTCCAGGGCCTGGCACTCTCTGCACCCAGGACTGGGGTTCTGCCCAGGCCTTTGGGACTTAAGCTCTGCCCCTGAGCTCTGGGTCTGTGTGTGTGTCTGTGTGTGTGTGAGTGTCTCTGTGTGTAGCTGACTGCCACGGTGGTTTAAAACACGCCACCTTGTGGAGGAGAACAGGGTGGGTCTCTCCTGTTCACTATTTCTCCAGGTATTCGTGGCTCACAGGTTACTCCTGCCCAAGGGTGCTCACAGCCTTGTCCTTCCATCTTAGGTGGAGGCCATCATTCACCCTAAGTTCCTGGCAGCTTTGCTTTCCCCAGAACCACAGCTGGATCCCTTGGCACTGGCTGAGGAGTTAGAAGAGGAGGAAGGACTCTCTCTTGAAGAGGTGAGCCAGAGGAGGGAGGGACACTCAGGGAGACAAGGGAGGGAGGGATTCCAGATACAAGAGGGGAGGCAAAGGACACTGGGGGAACCAAGGGAGGCAGGACCCAGGTCAGCCAGGGAGGGGATGGGACCCCAGAACAGGAGGCCCACAGCGCTCTACTCAACCCTCCCCTACCTGGAAGGCCTGGCATTGTGGAGGGCCCGCTAGGGACTGGGGCAATGCAAGACCATAGTAAGGAGAGGATGGGGGCCCGGAGAGAAAGGAAGGACACACAGCTGAGAACAGGCCCAGGAGGACAGCAGGAGCGCTAGTGTGTGTTCTCTGACTGGAGTCCTGGAGACAGTCCCCCCTACAGCCCCTCACTGCCATCATCCCACGGCCCAGCCCTCCTGCTCCCCTCAGCCGTGTGTGCGGGGCCAGTCACCGACCACCTCCCTCCTATCAGCTGGTGCAGAAACGACTCCTGGCCCTGAAGGAGGAGTTGGGTGCGCAGGCACCCACCACTCACCGTGCACCCCAACTGGACTCAAGTCCTCGTCAGTCTGATGTTACACAAGATGCCCAGAGGCATGATGAAGGCCCCCAGCTAGGGGTCAGCGAGGAAGACAGCCCACCAGAGATTGAGTCTGAGGAACTTTCAAGGTGCAACGGAACAGAGAGTGGCCTGAACACATCAAAACACAGGATTCTCTCTCCAGGACATGAGGGTTTCCCTCTATCTCAGGCTGGACAGCCCCTCTCTCCTCCCCAGGGTCAAAGGCACACTCCACCGAGCTTGGGACCCATGGAGACCTCAAATCTCAGAGAGGCCTCTCCTCTTAGGGAGGACGCAGGGCCAGGGCCAGAGGATGGGTCCAGTGAAGACAAGAAGGAGGTCCCCAGCCTGGACTTCATCTTGGCCACTCAGTACTGCCTGATGCCCTGGGGAGGGAAGTCCCACAGCTCTGCCCCAGGGCCCTTGAGATTTCTCTGCCCTGGAGTTCGGGGGGCCCCCCTAGCCCCCTCCCCTCATAGAATCAGCCTTAGCCCAGCTCCTGCACCAGCTGCCAAGTCCAGGAAGCGGGATCTGTGTGCAGGCCAGGGGTCTGATGACAAGCTGCCCCAGCCCAAGCCTGACCTCGGCACCTCTGGGAGGCCAGCCTTGTCTCCGGGGCTGGTGCGCCCCTCACAACCAAAAAAGAGGAGGTGTGACCCATTTGTCGCAGGGAGTGTGAGGAGGAGGAGGAGGAAGAGGCACTGCAACAAATAATAAGCCTCCAGTGCCAGCCCCCCGGGCGGCCCTCAGGGGAGTTTAGGGGCTCTTCCTCATCCAGTGCTGATCCTGGCTGATGTGCGGGGCAGGGAGGGAGGGCGGGACCATCAGGGCCAGGGTGGGATGGGGTGGGGTGGGGTGGTGGGAGTTAGAGGGCTGGGGATGTGGATCTGGTCGGCTGTGGGGGGGGAGTAGCACCTTGCGGTGATACATGTAAAATGGGAATAAAAATAAGTTTTGTTTGGAAATGTTCTAATGCCAGTGTAGTCTTATTCACGTCTGCACTGCTCTACAGAGAGGGCTCCTGAGAGGGAGGATGAGGAGGTCCCAGGAGCTATGGATCCACAGGGGGCCGACTAGATCTTCCTCCGCATTGACACGGGGTCCTCAGATGCTCTGGGAGCCCCCAGCTCTCACTGTCCCCAGGAACCCCCACATCATCCTTTTCACTCAAGTCTGCTTGGCCACAGGCCTGTGGGACATCCCATCATCATCTGCATCCTGGAACAAACTAGGGATGGAGAGCTGTCTTCGTGCCTTTCAGACCCCTGGACACTAAGCAGTTCTCTAGAATGGAGCCTCGAGACAGCCCTGGTCTTTGGGGAGCTTCTCTCTGCTTTCCTGAAGCAGCCAGACCAGAGAGGAAGAGCCTTGGCCTGAGGGACAGGACTTCCTGCCTCTCTGCCCTGTCGTACAGGGAGCCTCCTCTAGTCTCCTGGGATTCCTGCAGTGGGTGAAGTGGAGGAGGCAGCTCCCTATTAATCCCAAGGACACATGGGGAATGGGCTGAGAGTAAGTTCATGGGAGCCTGTTAAAGGTGTGTAAAAGGGGAATGACAACGGACGCCACTGTGGGACTTGTGGGATTTCTGTGCGGGGGCATCATGTCCAGCTGAGGGTTTGTAACACGCTGGACTTTGCTGATCTGGGCACTGGTTAGTTGCATGGTGTGTTTAGTTTGTGAAAAGTTATCAGGCTGTAAGCTTGGTATCTGTACTATTCTGCATACATATTATACTTCACTTAAAGTCAAAAGTTAAAAAATAATAAAACTTTCTTTAAATTTTTGAAGTAAAACAAAAAAGAGAGACACAGAGAAGAGCAATTATCACAAAACTGAGGATCGCGGTCACCTCTACAAGGGGATTTGATGACATTTCTAAGGTTCACACAATGTTCTAGTCTACAATTTGCACAATAATCACATTATTGATTTCTTTTTTAAACAGGTATCTTTTACATCTGTTTCAATACGTGAAAATCAAATTAGATGTAGTAAAAAATACAGCAGTCCGATAAATGTAAAAACAAGTAAAATAAATTCCTAGAAAGATAAAAATTATCAAGAAAAAATTAAAGACACAGATAATGAAAAATCATGTAAACGTTTGTTAAAGAATTTTTGTATCAGTAACTTAACGTGTTCCCATCAAAATCAGACAAATAAAATTCACGTTCAGACTGCTTTACAAACAAACAGTGAAAGCTTCACTTCAAACATCAGCAATGCCCACTCTCACCACTGCTCTTAAGACAGGGAAAAAAACAGTC